GCCAAGCCAGTGGGAGATGTTTGTGCAAAGGCCGGGTGCTGGGTTCTCGAGACTTCCTGCACGCATAACACCGCACGCTTATGGTAGCTGCTTGCAGTGGATCGTTCTGCACTCATCTGCGTTTCGATACCTCCTAACCAGCGGCAGCATTTGGACCCGAGGATTGAGGGGCCGCATCGCTTTCGACTCCATGCGGGGATGTTTTTTGAGCTCATTTTTGGACCCTCTTTTTGGAGCTGCTTTCTAAGGCTAATTCGTGGAAGCACTTACAACCCCAAAACGAGGCTCCAAAATGAGGCCTCGTTCTGGCTCCACTTTTGGGGCCCAATTTGGGTTCAATTTCGGTGAGCCATTTCTCGTTGCAGGCCGTGCTCTTCTGGCGCCACGCTGCTTGGTTGGAACGCTCCAGCACGAAGCAGCCAGTCTACATCAATATAGATGAAACGGCTTTAGCCTATTCGTTCCATGCTGCGCCTGGCCTGATACAGCGGAAATTCCACGCAGAGGTTCAAATTAGACCTCAAGACGCACGTGGGTGCATCACCCACGTCGCTCTCGTCTCAAATGTCCTCGGTGTGCAAGCGTATTTGCCACAGATTTTAATATGTAACAAGCGTCGTCTCAGCAGAACCCTGGAGCAACAATTGCAAAGCGTTGTTCCCTCCACCGTGATGCTCTGTCGTGAGGATTCCTCATGGAATTCAGAACGACATATGGTCTCCTTGCTCACTCTCTTGGGTCAGCTCTTTCGCATCCGCTTCCCGCAATATCAGGCCATTGTTGTCTTCGACGCGGCCTCGTGCCATCTTTCTCCGGGCGTCATAAGAGAAGGACGCCTCCAGGGGTTATTCATGCTGCCGGTGCCCCCAGGCATGACGTCCTACCTGCAGCCTCTAGATTTATGGTGTTTTGGACCATATAAGAAATGGCTGGAGCGCGAAAACCGCCAGCAGCGAATTTGCCAAAATGGGTCCGTGTCTCTAGAGACTTGGTTTAGAACAATTTTCAAAGCGTGTACAGACTACTGGACGAATCGTCCCTTTTGGAAGGCCTTTGCACAGGCAGGCCTTCCCACATCCGAGCAAAGGTTGCATGGCAAGCTTGCCTCGCTGTTCCCGGAGGGAATTCCCAGTCTGGAGCAAGCTTTGTCTCAAGATGAATTTGCCCAGTTGTTGCCTAAAAGGCACGACTTGACCCGGACTTTTTCTGACTGGGTGGGCGGTCCCCGGCGAGAGGTGCCGGTGCTTTCCTAAACATCTTGAAGCATGCAGAGAAGACGTGCTGCCGCAAAAAATTGCAACTGTACAGGAACGACTTGTGCTCCTAGCGTATCAGCTGCTCCAAGCACTCTGATTTTGGCTCCTGCCATCAAGCAGTTGATTTGGCGCTTGCTGAGTTCTCTGCTTGGCTCCAGCAAACCCTGCCTTAAAACACCGTGCTGAAGGCATGGCAAACAACGAGGCTGGTCAACACTGTTTCACAGCACCCCTGCTGAAACAAAGCGCCCCGCCCGAGGCCGAGGTTGCGGGACCTGAGCTTCCACGAGAGCCCGACCGTGTGGAACTGCCCCAGGTAGCCATGCCAAAAAGCATCCACAGGAGCAGCTGCTCATTCGTATCTACGCAGGAGACGCTAAACGAACGCCTTGCTGCCTTAAAAGCTGCCAGGGCAGCTGCGAAGGCTCACAGCATGTGTGTCTTAGGAGGCTCAAGCTTTTTTTTTGTACAGCCTTATGTGCCTCTCCAGGTACAAGCCAAGCAGCTGAGCAAGGTGGTAAAGGCCGAAACAAAAAAGCTCAAAAAAGCGCGGGCGGTGGCACGAAAGCTGAGCGAGGCAGACTTGTTAGGGCTTCTTGTAGAGAAGAGGCAACCAGTTCTCTGAGAGTGGGAGCTGGAAGCTTCTAGAAACTGTTTTTTCGAAGAGTTGAGACTGGAAGCTTCTTTGGAAGCTTGCAGAAACTGTTTTTTCGAAGAGTGCGGCCTGGAGTTTGCAAGCGCAGCTTCTGGGGCTGGCGAAGGAAGGCGTGTCGTTACGGACACGTGCTGTGCCAAACAGGGCTTCGCAACGCTCTGCATGTCTGGTTGTGTTGTAGAGTTTCAAAAGGTTTAGGAGTATCGCCCAAAGTCTTCCAACTTGTGAGCGCCTGTGACGGCTGGAGGTGGGAGGGTAGGCTTTCTTGTAGGAGTGGCATCAGGCAAACCAGTCTCGATTCCGATGTAAAACTTGAAATTTTGAACTAAGGGCAGCAGACTTGTGAAACGCCCGCCAACATGGAGTTCAGACAGAGCACAGGCACAGATATGAGTTTTTCCATGTGCATGCTGCATGGGGCATCTCCGAAAAAACCCTTCTGCTTCCTAAGGGCTTGTACAGCAACAGTTGCGGCAGCAGCAAACCTGTACATGGGACATGTGCGTCGAGAGAGCAGCACTGCTAGGATGTAACGGCCTCTTTATACCAAAGCTATTGGCGGTGCTAACAGAAACTTACTTTCGGATGCTTCAGCCTTGCAGCATGCCATGGCCTCAGAATAAGACCGTCGTGAGAGAGGTGCTGTGAGCAGTCCAAGTCAGTACAAGAGGAACATTTCCCTTCAGATGATTGGTTAATGTGGCTGCGCGAAGTGTTGCCGCAATTGATTTCTGCCCAGTGCGAATGTCAAAGTCAGGAAATTCGAACAAGCGGGTAAACAGCGGAAGTTTGAGACTCTCAGGTCGGGCATGGCGATGATTTTTGGAGGTGCGCTGAGGCCGTCGTTGCCCTGGATGCTGCGAGAGCAATCGAAGTCAGCACGAGAGGAACACATCTAATACTCTTACTGCGGCTTGCTGAAAAGGCCATAACCACGAAGCTATCATCTGCTGGATTGGCGACGGAACTCCTCTGAGTCTTCAGGGTTTTCGGCGCTTCGGAAGTGGGAGGGCGTAGGTAGAGGGCTGGACTGTGTGCGCTGTTTTTTCCGCCTTCGCTGTCTGCTCTTTCTATCATTGAGATGCAGAAAGCCCAAACCCAGAGACTCCAAAACTTCTTAATTAAGGAATATGCAGTTTAAATTAGAACGGAAGCCTACTTAGATTTGAAGTCAATTCCTTAATTAAGGGGTTTGGAGTCTCTGGGCCTGGATGCTGCAAGAGCAATCGAAGTCAGCACGAGAGGAACACCTCTTATACTCTTACTGTGGCTGGCTGATAAGGCCATGACCACCAAGCTATCATCTGCTGGATTGGCGACGGAACTCCTCTCAGTCTTCAGGGTTTTCGGCGCTTCGGAAGTGGGCGGGGGTATTCACCCGCCAATAGGGAATCTGAGCTGGTTTAGGCCGCGTGAGACACGTTACCTGATGAACTAGATGCTGCGAGAGTAATCGGAGTCAGTAATTGGAAAGGTGAAGCAATGACCGTCGTGAGACAGGTTTATTTTTGGTCTGACAAACCCCAAACCTCCAAAGAGGAGGTGAGACAGGTTTAGTTTTACTTTTATAACCCTAAACCCTCAAAGAAAGCCCAAACGCAACAAGCACAAAAACCCGAAACTTTCTAAAAGCCGGGACTACAGGTCTCCTCTGCGATGTGTCCGAGCAAACAGGCCGAGCGAGATGTTGCGACAGTAATCGACTGTATGTTGGTTTGGACCGTTGTGAGACAGGTTTGCATGGATGAGCCAGATGTTGCGACAGTAATCTTTCTTTCGACCCCCCTTCCCCCCATACAATGGCCAAGCTTGGTGCAACAAGAGCGACACAGAATGCTGGGCTTGCTGCTCCAATTGCGGTATCTGCTTATTGTAACCTTTGTAATTCCCAAAAGCCCGGACCAAGGTCCGCGCTTGCTTTGCTGCGAAAACCGTGGTCCGCGGTAGGTTTCTCGGTTAAATGCTCGGGTCCGCGCAGGTCCGCGCCAGTTTGGTCGAGAAAACTAGTAGACTTCTTAACCAAATGCTCAGCTCCCTGCAGATCCGCGCTTGCTTTGCGCGAAAACTGTAGTCGGTGCAGGGTTTCCGCGAAAACCGTGGTCCGCGGTAGGTTTCTCGGTTAAATGCCCGGGTCCGCGCAGGTCCGCGCCAGTTTGGTCGAGAAAACTATGGTCTGTAGTAGACTTCTTAACCAAATGCTCAGCTCCGTGCGGGTCCGCGCTTGCTTTGCGCGAAAACTGTAGTGCGTGCAGAGCTTCTGGGCTAAATGCTCGTGTTCCCACGGTTGAGAAAACCGTGCGAACGGTTTCTGAGCTAAATGTTTGGGTCCGCGCAGGTCCGCCCCGGGTTTGCCAACAAAACCGCAGGTCCGCGCCGGTTTTGTCGAGAAAACCGTGCTAGGTTTCTGAGTTACATGCTTGCGCCCGCGCAGGTCCGCGCCGGGTTTGCCAAGAAAACCGTGCCAGGTTTCTGAGCTAAATGCTTGGGTTCGCGCCGGGTTTGCCGAGAAAATCGTGCAAGGTTTCTAATCTAGCTGCTTGGGTCCGCGCAGGTCCGCGCCGGGTTTGCCGAGAAAACCGTGCTTGGCGCTGCGTTTCTGAGCTACATGTTGGGGTCCGTGCAAGTCCAGGGATTTGGCGAGACAGCCGTGGTCCTTAAAACGAACCTTTACAGACATTCCGGAGTTGGTGGGGTTTAGGATTGTCGCAGCAGAGCCACCAAATCCAGCTGCCTATTTCATTGCAAGCTGGCTTGCAATCTGTAATGTACGTCTTGTGAATGTTGTCATGTCTTGAGATGTGCCGCGCTGCCCGTCTTGACGGCCTCAGCTGCTCAACTGCTGCAGCCTACAGGCATAATCCAGGCCAAATTCTGCATTCTGCAGGTTCCCTTGACCTTGAAACAGCATTCAAGCCTAAATACTGCAACGAACTTACGAGCTCAGCAATTCTGCAGCAACAATGTCAGCAAAGCAGTGCCTCTCAGTCTGCGGAGATTCTGCATTGGTCTCAAGCCTCGCCTGTAGCACCCGTGCTTTATGCAATGCCAACTGAAGCTGTGTGACAGTTCCAGTGCAGGCATGGCACTGCATGGCAGAAACAGATGAGTCTTTGGAGGAAGCGCTCGCAAGGCTTGTGGCAGAGGCTCAGGTGGAAGACTTCCCGCTGTCATCCGAGCCAGGGCTGGAGACCAATCCAGATGATGCTGCACTTGTTCCGTTTCTTGAAGATTTGGACAGTGCTGTGAATCACAGCTCCAGTGTCGATGGTGTACAGCATCGCCAAGAGGACGAAGAGGATGCTGCGCTGCTTCCGTTCCTTGCAAGTCTTGCAGGTGAGGCACGTGACACTGGTGTCACTGCGCCTGTGAGTGAGTCTGCTCCGGCGCCCGCTGCTCCGGCGCAAGAGCGGCGAAAGCGTCAACGAATCGATTGGCAACTTGTCCCCATAAACTTCCGCAGTAGGTTCTGTTGTTTGTCGTTGTGCTTTCTTTTGCGCATTTGCATTCGTTGCAAGCGTTTTTGCACCTATAAGTGGTAAAGCCTCATGCTTGCCACCAGGACTGCGAAGGCCGCAAGGCCTCCAACGCCGCGTAGCGTCAAAGAGGCTCTGGACCAACTGGGCCACCGTGACCGGACTGATGCACGAGATGCCTGGGTGTTCCGTTTCCTTGCCGCAGCACCGGACCTGAAGGCGAAGTTTTCGGACAGCAAAGCGGCTAAGGCAGCTTTACGGAAGTATTTCGCATCGAGTACGAGCGAAATGCTGCGGCACGAGTGGTATAAGCATTGGGTGGCGCCTGCGGCTTGCGGCAAGCCAGCTTTTCCTTCCACGGAGGTTGTTTTGGCATGGTGGCGACAGCATTCAGACTTGGACTTGCAGATCGTCGCTAGCAGCGCTCCTGGAAACCATGATGGTGACCCTGCGCCAGCAGATGGACACGAGGGAGGGTCTCGTGTGCATGGCTACATGTTGACCTGGCACGGCCGCTGGGGTTGTCGAAATCCGGAAGCCCAGGAACTCATGCAGATGAGTGCGACTACGCCTTCAGCTGTGTTAGTGCACTTAGTTGCTGGCAGCGCTTTTTACAAGTGGCTTTGGCAGCAGTTCAAAGTCATGGCGTTGGGCGCGTGCGAAAAGTTGGAATGGCCTCGGCACACATTGAAAATGGAGCTTTCATTGCGTAGACGTTGCCCCGAGAATCTGGTGCATTTCCACCTTGCAGTCACCGACTCCAATCGACGCCATAGGCTGAGCAATGAGAATGGCTTTTGGACGTTCATGGGTGCCCAGCCACATGTTCAGCCTGTTTTGGGAAAAGGGAGATATTTGACGAGGGCTCTTGATGCTGGCCACTATTACTGTCAGGCGCCGAAGATAGGCAGCGTGCACGTGGCTACCAACTACGTGGCGTATCGAGATTTTACAGTGGAACTCCAAACAATATTTAACTTGTGGCGACGCCACAAGCTTGAAGATTCTGTGGCGAAATCCGAGCTCATGACGGCACGTGGCCGCGGGACTCGCAACTACTTGGCCGAGATCCAGTATCATGAGGCGTGGCAACAGGCGCGACGGAATGCAGCGGTTAAGGCTTTGTTGGAAAGCTGGATGCCTTGGAAGCCGAGCCGTATCGTTCCTGCAGTTGCCGCTGCGTATGCATGCAGCATTTTGTCATGCCCATTTTTCCTAGGCCTGTTTCTGTGGTTGCGCTTGTGTTGAAGAATGCTTAAGCAAACCCACTTGCAGGTGGAATGGAT